CCCCAGGGGGGGGGGGGCGAGAAATATATGTGCGTACACGGTACGTATGAGTACAGAAATGCGTACACGTACGTTTAAATGTTTACGTACACTTGAATGTACACGTAAAGTACACGTGAAGTTCACATAAAGGTATACGTACGATTGATACTTTTGCGCGAAGTAGGATATGATGCAGAAAGATATGTGCGGAGGTACGTTTTACTATGATTTATTTTATATCCCTTTTTTTTTTTTTTTTTTTTGTACTCTTAGATTTTATCTATGTGTATTTTTTATTATTATTCCTTGTTAATGTATGGTTCGTGCTGCGCAGTTTTTGTGTCACCGGCTCGGGACATATATGTATATCGTAAGTTCGGCGTGTATTGAAAGAATTAAGTATGCACTCTTGAGTTTTGCAAAATTGAACGTGGGATTCTTTGAATTTTTCCTTTTTTTTTCCTTGGCGTACAATATCACGAGCATTAAAAGAAGACATCATGAGTAATGTTTTCTTTGCCGGCCGTTTTTTGTGCATTAAAAAATGCTCGTTTCATGGCTAAATTTTCGTTTAATGTCACCCTTTTGCTGTTCATAAGTTTCTTTATTTTTTCATTTCTTTCTGATATTGCGCTGGAATTTTCATTTTGTGTTTCCTCCTTTGCGATTTCTTTGCCTTGCACGGGACTGTCACTACAGGCATCGTTTGGGGTGCGCAGGTTGATTTTGTCACAAATGTCCTCGTCGACTTGGGGTATTTGAGCTTTTAGCGAGGAGGGGTTAGCACCTAAGGAATTCACAATCTTTGTGTCCCATTTGGCATATGTATCCTTTTTTGCATGTGTGACGGCTTTCTTATGTGTAGCGACCTTTGCACATGCGAGCACTTCACCGCGCGCGTTCACATGCTCCCCTTCTGCTTTCAAATGCGACGAGTTTCTTCCTGTTGTGTGCTCGTGTTGATCATTTTCAGCAGCCTGATCGTTAAGAAATATCCTAATCGTTTCCGCGTGTAAAATATCTTTTATAATTTGCTTTAGTTTTTCTTTTTCTTTCCTTTCCTTCATTTTTGCTTCATTCGAATTGCCCATTTTAAAACTGTCGCGCATCATTAGTTTTAGTTTAACCCTTTCATTGAATCTCTTTTTTCTTTTGGTACATGTTGGCCTTGAATAGTGTGTATTGGCGTTATCCTCCTTGGCATTGTCCAGAGGGTTGGAACTTTTTATCTTTTGTTTTAGGTTGATTTGTTCGGGTAGTGGGGTTGTTATTTTGTTTACATGCGGTTGGTAAGACTGTTCCCCTTGGTGATCTTTTATCATCCCCTTTTGAAATTCCTTTTCTTCTTCTCGCCCCTTCATTTGAAGTGTTAAAATGGTCGTTGGTGAGTCCTGTAACATGGGCCCATCGTTAGCAAATGGAAGGTCTATTATTTGTGCCTTTTCATTAGTCTCATCCAAATATGTTATCATCAATTGTTCCTTTTCCATATCATTTTTAGAACAATCCTTTTGCATTTCTTTCATATATTCTCGTTTGAGGTCCTTTACCATTTCAATTAGCTTTTTAATTTCTTGTCGTATTTCTTCCCTTTTTGCGTCTCTACAAGGTGCATCATCATTTTTGTTTTCGCTGCTTGGTTCGTAGTCCTCCAACTCGCTGACGAACCCACTCACGAAATCTGGCAATTCGATTTGGCGCTTTCCGTCTTCCACTGGTAGGGCGGTGGTTTGACTAGGTGCATTTACCATGATGGGCCAATTTCCCCTACCTACGTCCTCCACCACCACGACGTCAATTTGTGCACTTGCATTTTCCATCATCATAGCATTGTCTTGATCCTGTACATCTTCCACTATTGAAGCGGTGCTTTTGTAACTAACAGGGTGCCCCACAATAACATCGTTTCGGCAAAGCACATCTTCCAGCATGATGGCGTCATCATCATCGTCTCGTAACTCAGCTCCCACCAACAGTTCACCCTCATCGCTTACATCCGACACCGCGCTAACTTCGCGAGTAGACTCTTGCACATCTACCTCGATTGATATCCCCATTACACAATCCTTTTCCAGCGCATTCATTACACGTTCCATTTCCAAAGTGGAAGGTTTCATTTTGCTAACTGAGGCAGTTACATTTATGTGTTTCTCTTTTACCTTTTCAATGGAGGTGTTTTTTGCATTTTTCCTTTTTGAACCCTTTTTATTTAAGTTTTTTACGCCAGCATTTGTGTTCACTTCTTTAACCCGCGATTTTTCCTTCTTGGAATTTTTCGATTTCTTTTTTTTCGTTTCCTTCACAAGTCCATTTTTCATTTCTGCGAGAATTTCCTTTATTAGTTGTTTGATTGTGAATATTTCTTTTTCTATGTCTCCGTTGGGTGGTTGCGTGGTTTGGTCTGTTATTCTGTTATCGTTCGTGTGTGATAACTGAACTGGGGTCCCACTTTCCATTTGTTGAGATGTGTCATTTAGGTCTTCAATCATTAGCGTCCCTTTTCCTTCAGTGAATCCTTCACGTATAATCTGCCTTATAGCAACCACATCATTTTTCGAATCTTTTAAATTTCTATTTGTGAGATATGTTGATGCCACACTACCTTTTTCATAATCGACACTTGGCAACCCCTCCTGCGTTATGATTTGTGTGTCTGTCGGTTCCTGTACCTCGGGAACAACACCTACCAGTTCATAATTTTTTTTTTTCTCCAGCACATATTTATTTCCTTTTTTGGCTATATTAGTACACAACTTTTTTGTTTGTATTTTATCTGAAGGAGGTTTATTGTTCATATCTAGTGTTGTAATTTGATAACGCATTACACTAAATTTTGCAAGAGTTATCCTCCTTTTTGATTCTTCTAATGATAATTTTCTCCGGTTTCTGGGAAATTCCCACATGCATATGTGTCTACCTACTGTGAACGATCTCTTTGGAATGTTTTCCTGCGTGCAAGTCAGTCTTGTTGATCCTGCTGCGGTTAGGTAATACGGCCATTTGATTGGCTCATTTTCCTCCCTCTCTTTCCCCTCTTGTGTTGACACCATAATACTTCTTATGGTACATTTTACCAGTGGATCCGTAATGAATATAGTACTGGGGGAATTCTCATTTTCCCATCCCATGGTCTCCATTTTGAAGTCTTCATTTTTTACTGTCCCAGGGGTGTAGTCATTCCAGTGTATTTCTCTTTGAAGGCATGTAAAACGTTCTTTGCATTCTTCCTCAGTAGCAATGTCTACGTTTTCTATTTGTCGTTTCACTTTGTCATTTAGTTTGACCTCTTCCACCTTGTTAAGGCATACTGTTTGCCCGTGCATTACCACCAGGTTAGCCTTCTTACCACTCCAGTGATAAATCTCTAAACGTTGGACTATCATAATAGTCCATTTGTTTACACAGTTCATCCCTTCCGTGTGGTAGAAATGAATGATATGTGTTGCTTCTATTTTTGTGAGTGCTTGTGCTGTTGATGAGAGATAGGTATTTTCCCCTTCATGTGAGATATTGTTCTGTTTTTTTGCTATTTTGTGCATTTTTACTTCATCAAAGGGGAGAACTTCGTTCAGGTGAAGAATGGGTAGTAGCATGTAAATTCTGTTCGAGAATGCGCTAAACAGGTATTGTCCCACTGGAGGGTTGACAACGGGTGCGCTTAGGTAAGGAGAGAAGCTCATTTGGATGTCTTTGTTGGAGTCATTTTTTTGAACTTTTTTGTTAAACACACAAAAACTGACCTTTTCCTTTGAATTTGTGAAGTGTGTCCAGTTTTTGTTTTCTAGTAATATATGGTTACATGTTGTATTGAACTTTTCAAGTCGGTTCTCCACTGAGGGGGTCTTTTCTTGTCTGGTCGCTTCTTTTACATGAGAAAGAGAGTTCACTGTTTGCCCTTTTTCAGTAGTGGCATTTTGGCGATTTTTCTGTAATTTGTCTCTCCAGTTAGTGGTCATCATTTGTATGCTGATTTGTTTGGGAATCATTTCGTTTTGGACTTTTCTTGCTTTAACTCTGGTGTTAATTTGTGCACCAGAGAGTAACTTTCTTTTTTTTTCCCCTATATCTGTGGTGGTGATAAGTTTATGTTTAGTATAGTCCTTTCTTATGGTTCCGTCTTGGACAATCAGTTCTTTATCGCCTTGCAATGTTTTTTCTTTGACTTCTTTGCTGTTATGTTGTTCCTCGGGAATTGCCCCTTTCGTTTTTTGCTTAATTTGATTAGGGGTAGCTTGTTGAGTGATGTGACATTTTTTTATTTTTTCCTGGTTGGTATTTATTCTATAATGATTCTCCATTTCGGATTGTCCCTTTTGCAGGTTCGAAGGGGTAGGTACTTTCGACGCAGCTTCTGCATGTGTACGCTTGGTTGGTCGATTGTCTACGTGCTTTTTAATGATCAAATAGTTAGAATGAATATTTTTCTTGTTTTCATTTTTGTCTTTAACATGGACTGCTTTGATAATTATACCTTTGGGACGTTTCGGAATGTCATGTTGGGTATTTCCACTTTTCAATTTCGCGAGAGATAAATAGTCCATTTCTTTCCTTCTTGGTGTTACAATTTTCCTCCTCTGGGTATCTTTCCCTTTGGCGTTGACTGTATTGAGGGGGTTCCTACTGCTTCTTACCTCATGTGGTGCATGACGGCTTTGCACATAGGACAGTCTTATATCTCCTTTTTTATTTGTCATCAATTTGTGTCCATTTTTAATTTTGTCACTTGGTTTGATGCTCTCCTTTTGCTTCATTTCTTTCGTGCTTACCATTTTAGTCGTCAATGGCTTGATGTTGTTCTGGGGTGTATATTTATTGTGGTACTTGGTCGAAATTGTGTACTTTGGAGGGTTTTTATTTGCGACTGTTGTGCATGCTCGAGTGGATCTCCATTTGGGCAGTATACATTTCGTCGCATGTGCCTTTGCATTGCTTGAATGGGAGGACAATTGAGGTGGGTCGCCCAATATGTGTGGTATTATTTTAACGGCTCCTTCCACTAAACGATCGTTTTCATGCCCATTTTGTTTGGGGTACTTATATTCCCCATTGCTACTTATTCTGGGACTGCTTTCTTCATTGCTAGACCGTTTGAGGAAATTTAGAATTTTCACTCTATTATCATTCTCGTTGATTAATTCGTATAGTAACGTTTCATGGCTTTTTCTTAGGTGGTTTTTTTGATCATTTGAAGTTCTCTTTTGATATTTGTCATGCGTGTCATTTGGTGCAGCTTGGTTGTTAGACTTCCCCTGACAAGCCTTAATCTGAGTGGTCTTCACATTGACATCTTTAGTGTCCTCTTCAGTTGTTTCACTTCTATGAGTTGCATCATCGCTGCACAAATTTGTACATGCATTTTGTCGCCCTTCAGATTGCTGAATAAATTGTTTAATTCTACTTTTATTATCATTTGTGTGTATGAGTTCGTATAGCAGACTTTCTTGGCTTTTATAATTTAGACGCTTGGTCGAGCATGTCTCCTTTTTTCCTTCTTCCATGATGTGAAACTCACTAGAATTGTAACCGGGTGATGACACGGAGCTTGCATATTCAGTCCTCCCACTGCTACATGGTGAAGTTTTCTCTTGCGAATTTTTTTTTGACTGTCCACTGGCATAGCTGTCCCCATGTGTCAAGCCTTCAACAACACTCAAATTTATGGCAAGTTGGTTATAAATTGGTGTTGCTGCAAAGTTGGAGCTCAACATAATACCTTTTGTGTTTTTATCGGTATCCATTTGGATTTCCTTTTTTGGTGTGTGGTGTGCGTATTTTTTTTCCTTTAATTCTTGCTGTTCATCGCAAAAGGGTGTGGCGGTTGTGTGATTTATTGTAGGTTTCACTTTGTTCACCTCACTTTGGTTATTTTTTTCGCGCATTTTTGCTTGTACATTTTTATTGGTAGAACGTGCTGTTTTGCTTGTGCTAGTTATTTGTTTAGGTCGCTTCAATTGTGCTGATTCCTTTGTCCTATGTGAATGGGGTAGATTTTTCATTTTAGGTAAGTCCTTTGACCTGTTAGAAGTCCCCCTTTTTTTTGGTTTGTCTTCAGCGAAGGTGCCTTTCTCGTTTCTTAGAGTGATATTATGAATGGGTCTTTTTCCTAAATTGGATTCAGGTGTCTTTCCTAAGTGGGTGATATGAGTTGTGGGTCTCTTCGATGTTTTTTTTTCTCTCATTCCTTCTGTAATAATAGGTGAGTTGTCACTATATTTGGTGTGATTGTTTCTTCGGGTCGTCTTAGCAGCTTCGTCGGATGGGTGAGGGTTCCTTTTTCCCAGTTCGAATTGCATCTTGGAATCGCTCAGAGCTTTTTTATTTCCATTTTTTCCATTTTGGGATTTTCTAGGTTCATTCTGTATTCCCTTCCTTGCAGTGGCGCATTTTTTTGAGTTTAACTTTTTGGTAGGGCTATGATGTATATTTTTTGATGTGCCTATTTTGATAACATTTTTGGCACTGTATAGATTGTTAGGTGGGGTTGCGAACAACCTAATGTCCGCTTGTCGCCCCTCCGGTTCATAAATGTCATAGCTATATGTTGCTGATTCAGGGGATCCTTTTGTGTTTACACATTTGTTAGTTAGCATATAATTAATGCATTTTAAATCTCGTTTAAAAGCTATGTCTTGGTTGTGCCCTTCCGGTATGTAAGCACAGTTTACATGATTGCTAAAGGTTTGGCTCGAATGAGAGACGTCATTTTTCGAGGCATCCTTTACACGTAAAGCAGCGAGATGACTGAACATTTCTTTGCAATTGTTCGTTCTGTTAATTAATGCATTTCTGTTACTTTGCGTGTCAATTTTTCTTTTCTTTCGTTGGTTAATTTGCTCATCCTGGTATACCCGTTCTGTGCTAGGTATGTTTGCAGGGATGCATCTGTCACCAACGCTGCAGCTGCTCCGACCAGAGGGAGTTTTATGTCTGGGGCAGTTACCTCCAAGGACAGGAAGTTTTCGCTCCATGGTGAGTTCATTTACAATGTGGAATACATCCGGTTGATTGAAATTACAAGCTGCCCTTTGACTGAAACATATTTCTTCTTTTTTTAAATAACTTTTTTTTACTTCGTTATTATTATAGGAGGTTCCCATTGTATGTGATGTTCCCCCTTCAATTGTCTTGCCTTGAATGTATGTCTCGTTTTTTTGAGAATCATGTTGTTCATCATATGCATAGTTGCAATGAGCCCGTTGACCACTGTTGAAGCGTTCCAATTTTTTCGGAAAAGTTCCAGACGTATCCGTTTTTTTTTTTCTTCTTTTTTTGTCCTTAAAGGAGTTTGCATAATTGGGGGAGACTTCCTTCGGCCTTGGAGAAGGGATCTCCCTACCGCCCACATAGTTTGTTATGTTAACCGTTTTGGAAAGAATCGATCTCTTCATTTTCCATATTTTAATATGTTCTAAAATTTTATCCGATTCGGTTTTAAAAATGGACAAAGGATTTTTTTCAGTGTTCTGCCCGTTCATGGCGGCGTTATATGCAGCTATACCATCAATGGAGAGGTACTTTCTTGTGATGCCATCTTTTTGTAAGCCATTCACATTGGAAGAGTGTGTTTTTATCCGATTTTGTTCCACATCGTTCGATTTTTCAAAAAGGGGGCTTTTAACATTTCTGTCATGGGAAGGGCAGTTATTAGTGACTCCCCTATAAGTGTCATCACCAGTGGTGATGTCGCTTTGGTTTTCCTCGTTTCTTCTGGAGCCGCTCTTGGTTGCAAGTTCCATTTGAACTGAATTACCATTCCATTTGTCCAAACATGCAAACTTTTGACCATACACATCGCAGATATATGTTATAGGTTTCATAAAGAAATGTTTGTCTACTCCACCTGACTTCATATTAGCATTAGTGGTATGTGTAGGGGAGCTCCAGTTGCGGAGCAATCCGAAGTTGTTTTTAATGATTACCCATTTGGGGCGTGTCCCCTGTTCTCCCTTTTTTATGCTTTGTCGTTTCTTAACACGTTTATGTATAGCAACTGCAAGGTGCTTACCTTCACTGTGGGGTGGTTCTTTCCCCATTTGCAAATTGTTCAAGATGGAAATTAGTTGTTTTTTTTTTTTTTGTTCTTATCCGTTAATTTGTGCATAGCACTTTTTTTCCACATGAAAGAAAAAGGATTTTTTTTAAAATATGCGGGATGGAAAACCCCAATGGTGCGTAAGGATAGTGCCATGTCAACGTTTTCTTTATCATACACTAGAAGGTAAGCCCATAGAAAGAGATAGGGTTGTCAGGGAAGCAGTTAGGTGCATACACCCAGTCAGCAGAACAAACTCATAATAAATACAACATAGAAATAACATACACACATAGGAAAAGGGTCTAAATGTGTGCTTCTTATGCTTTATACACATTCGAACAAATTTAACGAGTAACACATTTCTCCCAAGGAGTACACCAAACGTAACGCATGAGTAATGTAGGAGGTAACTGCACTCATCATTTATTCACTTACATAATAAGTGGGCGTAGAGACGCTACCAATCGAAAGGGCAAGGAATAGAAAAATGAAAACACATGAATAAAAAAAAAAAAGTCACAAGACAAAAGGGCTGTAAAAATAAGGCCTTTCCATTTCAACAGGATTTATTTCCATCTTTTTAAGGACAAATAAAAAATTCTCGAATTGAACATAGTGCTGAAAAATGAAGACTATACATCCTCCAGTAAAGGATGCAGGAAGTGATGAAATATGTTCTATTACGAAAAAAAAAAAAATGTGAATATTCACGCATGACCACGTATGGTTTTGGGCGCTCAATAGGCGTAAGGTTACCGCAAGGGAAAACACACACGCGGTTGGGTAAACTCATGAATGAAAATATGTTTTGATACAAATGTCGCAACATGTGTATCAGTACATATGAACAATAATACAAAAAGGGCATGGTTAACCCTTTGCACAGATTTAACCTAAATTGTTGTAGACATATACTTACGAGGGAAACCCTTGGCCTTTCCCTTATCCAATTTGTATGATTAAAAAATTTGATATTGCGTAACAAAAAAAAAAAAAAAAAAAAAATTTGCATTTTATGGCGTGCTACTTTTAAGATTGTCTTAAGATCTTAGGACAATTACGAACGCAAAAGACGCGCTTTTTACTCATGCATGTTTACACCAATGTAAACATTTCCTTTTTTTTTTTTTTTAAAAAAGGAAAAATCGTTTGCGTAAATTAAGAGATATACATCCCCAGGGGAAGGCATAAAAGAAATTTAAAAGGGTTGTGGGCTTGTCTTGTATTAAGCACAAGACAGGCCAATTTGCACAGTAAGACATGCGGTGTAAATTATTTAAGCTTTGATAAGCCCAATTGCATTTGGTACAGTTGGAAGAGCTCCTTCCATTATAACTCTTACACTTAATTTAAAAGGATAAAATGAAATTTAATAACATGTGCAACAACAGTGCTTCCTCGTATGGCATTTTGGACAAATTCGTTTTTAAGAATTTTCGCATTTTTTTTTTTTTTTTTTTTTTTTTTAAAGCTTATATGTGACGGTCTAGGTGATTATACACACAAGAGTGCGTCTTTTTATTGGGTATACAACCGACTTGTGGAAATGGTATGGTGTGTAAAAGTGTACTAAATGCACAAAAATTAAAATGTCATTTATTCAAACAATGGGCTAGAAAAAATAGGGATATACTTTAGTGACAATATTGGGAAAGTTTTTTCTTACTCCACGTATAAAATGGGGGAGTAAGTGTGGATGTTTCTTTTTTTTATTTTTTTTCCCACCACTTTGTATATTTTTTTTTTAATTTAATGCGGGACGGCTATTATTTGCATGTCCAATCATGGCACTTATATTGCAACTTTTATTTCCGTGTGCGTGCTATTTTTATGAGTTTGTCACAAATTAGGCTGCACCTCCTTGTTCATAGCCTCATATTGATGTCCCATTTTGTGTATATGCGTAAGACCGGTTAGCCGTTTGAAGTTTTTTTTTTTTTTTTTTTTTTTTTCTTCAGGACTGCATTTGTTATTGAATGTGCTTAGCACGAGCATAAAAAAGAGCTGCTTTGGGGGGTTTAGTCAGATTTACTTGAGCAGCGGAAGACTGTATTATACATTTTAATAGCAGTATTTTAAGAAAAAACAAAATTCTGCTAAAAAGTACTCGTTAGTGGACGTTATGGAACATATATGTTTTTTCTTTGCTATTAATTTTGAGAAAATTGGACATAGGTTTGGCCGGCTTGTGGAAGAGTTCACGAAGTTTTCCGTACATACACACATACGTACGCAGTTACGAGCATTGACTTGCTTTTTTTTTTTTAAATTAAGGGAGCGAACAGTAGCATGAGGCGGTATACATTTTGGCGTAAATTTGAATAATTTTGTTGGCGATCAGTTATGGATTGAAAATTTTGATTAAAAAAAAAACGGACGCGCTGCTTCCCAGGCAGGCATATTGTTGAATAGCCCCATTTGGGCCTGCATATGAACATAAACATGGAGTCCTTTGTTCACATATCACATATATCCTGCATGACTCATTTTGAGGAGAAAACGGGCCCTAAGAAATGTGGGACATGTGGATTTGGCCTCTGTTAATGACACTTCGTTTGGAACAGCAAAGGGGTAAATGTAAAATGGAGTACACATGCATCTATTTGCTACGCATAAATAGACTTAAACGTCTTTTAATTTGTGCTTTTCTCTATTATAACATCATGCGTTCATATTGGCGACATTCCATTTGGATGCAACACGTAAAGAAAAAAAATAATCACTTAAGCAGATTCTCATTTTGTAAGTATTTAAAGTTAGTGCATGTAACAGTAGTTCCTTTTGCCCTGTGTTAACCAAGTGGCTAATGTGTATGAATGTTCTCCTTCAATTTCGTAGTCCCACTTTATGTGGACGAGTCATAACATTGGGTTGATGATATTCGCCCCCACGGCAGGGAGTGAACGTCGTGTTCGTCCCATTGCATGAACAAAAGAGTCATGTGCATGCACATGTGCAAATGGAGACACACCGTGGTGGGGCTTTCCTTTTTTCTTTCTGCGTTCCCCTGTTCCCTCGTTCGCGTTAGTGGGCAAAAAGGAGAAATGAATATATGTTTTCCAAGGCGCATGCAGTCGCTGCTATTATGAGACCACATTAAGTTGTATTGTTCGACGATGTGCATGCAAAGACACAACCAAAAAAAAAAGGCGGTGGAGGTAACAGTAGATGACATGAAAGAAGTGCCGATTCGGAAAAATACATATTCAATGATGTAATCAGGAATGCAAAAAAAAATCGAAGTAGAAAACACAAAAAAAAGAATAGCAGCATAAATATTCAAAAATAAAAAAATTACGCAAAAGACACGCCTGTTTTATTGTAAATAAAGAATATTTCTTCCATACAAAGCAACTTGCCAAAATAAGTCATTTTTGCGAATCCTGTGCCAAGTATATATTTGTGCAATTCACACTATCTCATCGCTTTTTCGTAAGCACCACCACTCAAATCAACACTGCCGTACCTTTCGCTCAAAATGAGAATCTCTTACATATTCTTACTCATAAATTTGTTCTTGGTAATTAACTTGTTGGCACCTTGTGTGTGCTCAGAGAATGCGGTAAAGAAGAAAGTCCTAGATGCGTTCAACACAATCAGCGAAAAATTGAATGGCTATGATAAAAAAAAGAAGAACGCAATATTGGCAGGCGCTGCAACTACAGCAATTGCCATCATATCGACTTTAATTGGAGGTGTACACTTACTTAAGCCCAAACGTAAAAACGAATTGGATGATCCTGGAACGGTTGCATTCGTTGTTAACCTTTCACTTGATACGGCAGATGGTGGAGTTGTTCAATCACAGAAGGGGTACATCATGGCAAAAGACATTACTAAAACATTCTCAAGTGAAGAGGAATTACGAGAATATATAGAGAAGAGCATAGAAGACAGTGGTTCAGATACGGCCAGTTCCGATAGGAAGGATCTTCTGAACTCCATTATGCACATCAATGTGAACATTACGAATGCGCCCGGTAACACTCAAACATAAGGAAGATATGCGTGGGACCATATTGTTGTTCTTCAGTTGAACGAGGAAAACAAAAGGATGCCCACGGTTCTGCACCGCTGCAGTTCTGCATAAAGTTGAACAGACGCAAAAGCTGCAACTTTGTTGCCATATTTTTGTCTTTACATATTTAATTTTACTTATGGGTACGTTTTGCTAAGCGTGGCATGCGTGTATATGTGTGTATTCCCCTTTTCTCATTTTGAAATCGAAAAGTGGGCCTCCCAGAGGGTCTTTTTTAACCGAGTTTTGATTTTTTTTTTTTTTTTTTTTTATTTTCCCACTATTGTCTGCAATGAATGTTATATGTAAACATTTGAGTGCCGTTCATTACCTTTTACTGATTATTACATACACAAATGGTACACATCATGTACGTATACACAAGTCGTAACTTGACAAACCGTGTTAACAGATCTGAAATAATTTAACTCATTCAAAATGATTTCATTACTTTGCGCCGAAGGCAAAAGCGTAGATAAAGCGGAAAAAAAAAAAAAAAAAAAAATGACAGAGCTCTTTTTGAGCGTCTATAAAGCTCGCTTTCGCAAAGGCGATGGTACTACGCTTTGGAAGGGGAACAGTTTCCCCATCTTTTTTTTTACGCATGATACTGTGTGCTTCCTCTTGAGCGAGATCATTGTGTGGGTCAAACAATGGGGCGTAGATTTTGGCCTTTTTTTTTTTTATTTTTTACTTGGTGCAAAAACGGCACCTTGCGAGTTTTCAACAAGCTGTAATGAACCACATATCTAAATGATATGACCATGGTGAGCATTGGCTAAGTAGTAAGAACAAGCATAATTTTCCCATACGAAATGTTGTACGTGCACTTATGAACACATGGACAGTGGTAAAATGCTTCTCGCAATATTTTACACCATGTAAGGTTTGTAAAGTTTAAGAATGTAATTTATTTATGCCGAAAGGTGTAATCTCAGAAACACGAAAAAGAATTGCCGTGTGCATTCCATAAGCTCAAAAATACAAATAATGGGCGAATGATGAGATACGCGCATTGTACATTGTAGATTGTTCCCTATGTTCGTACCTATGTCATTTATTCGCGCTGCGATGTGCCATAAATGAAAGCGCATTTACATGCATCGACTTTGTTAATGAATGCACGCGAAGAACAAGGACATAAAAGATGAGCAGAATTTTACGAGGCCTTATCACACTCCGCGTGTTTTTTACACTTGCCCTTTTCGAAATGTTTACACCATTTCGTTCTGTTGCTTTTTTTATTCTTTGTTAATTTTTTTCTTTAAATAAAAGGAGTTGTGCGATTTTTTTTTTTTTTCCGGGTTTGACTTATGCAGCATTTTCATTTGTTTTTTTTGTTTTTTGTAAACTACTAGGTTGTTTCTTTTGTTCTGTACGTGCGGTACTCACGTGTACACTTGATTTTTACATATAATATAGAGCACGTGAACGGATGCGCTTACTTTGTTCGCCTTATAAACGTTAATCCCGCACTGCACCAATTGGCATTACAAGGGTCTTACATATGTTTATGGGCATGACTCTGTGCTTGACGCGGGGGCCCGTATACGTTATATTTATATGGGTAAGCCCCTGCTCCCAGCGCATACTTACATATACATGTACATATATATATATAATACATACATACACGTGTTGCAAGTTTTGCTTCGTTGTGAACAGAGTTGCAAATGCATCGACCCTACAGGTGCACATAAGGGGGGCATTATTTTTTTTTTATACATAGTGTATAGTTACTTTTTGCACTTGGATAATTTTTTTTTTCCCCAGTGGCGACGACTCTTTTCCATATGGGTGCAAGGAGTATATTGCCTACAAGCAGGACACAGGGCATTTTTTTTTTTTTTTTTGTCCGGCATAAGGCAATTTCGGGAGACATGGGCAGCAAGAGTAGCGTTTGTTGGTAACAGAATACATAGTAGCTTATTATTATATGAGCAGAAGACGCATTTTATTCGTACCAACTCATGCCAATAAGAAATTCATAAAACATTATTAATGGAATTCTGAAATAAACGATTAAATATGGAACAATGTGATACGCTCAGAAAAGGCAAGTAGTAAAGGAAATCAAATAAATTGATTAAAGATTTAAAAATTTGTACTGAAGAATTGAATGAATAGTTCGGTTGCAAGGTTAAATTTGAAATTATTTATCAATTTTTTATGGTCATTTCTATTTTTTTAAACAAAAAAAAAATGGAAAAGTCTTGAAAAAATATAAAATGAAAATTATATTTCTGTGAAATTTTATTATGTATATTATTACAAAAGTATATTTTGTTCTGACATTCGTTTGTAAATATCTCACTTTTTTTTTTTAACGTGATATTTATACAACTTTATTCCAAATAGTTTTTGGGTGTAGTATAGTTTTGTGTGACCTTTTTTTTATAGTTCATTATAAAACATATATATACTATATATAAAAATTCTGAACAAAAGTACTTTTGTAATTTATACAGGAATAAATCTGATTTTTGTTTTTATATCCTAATGATATACAACACTTATCAGATTTCGGACATACGAAAAAAATAAGACTGACCAAATTGATTGTCATAATTCTGATTTAAATTATGTTCTTATACTACTTGCCCTTTCTCATTTGAACTTTTAAGTTTGGACTTTTAATGTTTTAAAATTTATTAATTTAAAATTTGATGTTAAGGTTCACTTTCTTATTAGCTTCAAGTGGTGTGTAAAATAAAATATTATTTTTACACACACAGCTCTATTGTAATTATTAATATAGTTCACAGTTTTAATATAATTGTTGCATTTTGATCTAATAATTCTTATAGCTGTTTTTAATTAATATAAATCCATAAACACTGGAGTGAGTTTACAACGTTGTAATGTAGATAATGAGCTCTTAATTGGTAGCCATGTCAAGCCAAAAAAAAAAAAAAATTCGTCATCCCATCCCTTTTTTTTTTTGTCCCCGTTCGACTAATGTAAGTGAGCATTGTTTAACTTATAACTTGTAGATTAACAAAGGTGCGTTGGAAAAACTTGATTAAATCTGTTGTATGTTTTATGAAATCCTAATGTTTCTATGAAAAGTTTTAAAATACTTATTTTGTATGTCCGTTCCTAATTACAATATCTGTCAACCAGTCGAAACAAGTACGATAAAAGTGTTTTATGAAAAGCAGCCCGCGATAGATGGTTTATTTTCTATGTTAATAATAGACAGTACAATTATCTACTTGAAACACCCTGTAAGGAACAATGTTTTGATGGCCGTTTGGTTGTATCACATGTAAAAATGGATAAATTAAAATCGGCACTATAGTATATATGGAGATTAGTACGGGTAGGTGCGCTTTTTGTAAAAGCAGCCCTAAAGAAAAATAGTTCAACTTCTATAATAGGTGTTAGCATGATTGATCATATTTAGTTGGGTCACAATACTCCCGAAAGTTAATCTGTATATGCACCGAATGATTCATTGGATAGATGCTGTAAATGCCAACTGAATCCGGATCAATATTTTTCATTTTCTGTGAAAGAGAATAATTCTCTAGCATTTTCTAACTGAGACAGCATTAAAATGGTATGCTGATCGATATTAGTTAACTTTAAACCGCTTTCTAAATGACACAGTATTTAAAGCAATACTGATTCATGTTAGATGGCGCTCGGCATATCCAAAACAGCATCTTGGACTGTCCATTAGAGCTTAACTTGTTAATATAGTCAAGTGTTATTTAGCGTAATAAATATTAATAATTAAGTATATTAATAATTATGTGTATTAAATAATTACGTATATTAATAATTAAGCATATTAATAATTAAGTATATTAATAATTAATGACAGGTACTTTATGTAGTATGCCATTTTGTAGCGTCTTATAAATAATAGTGCATAATCTTAGTAATGTAATTGTATAGAGATTATGCCTATTATTAATGGTTGTGCACCCGGTTAAAATACCGTGGTGAATAGTGCCGTTCGAATCCTATGTCATATAATAAATGCATGGATTAACGTCGGCTAAAGGATTTATCGTGTATAGACATATGAGTACAGGTTTTAATTTGTAAAGCTGATTAAGTTCCCCTTGATAAAGGAATCCTGTTCTATTATTTTATATTAGGACGGCGATTATTACTTGGGTTAAATTTAGCCTGGAAAGTTAGTCTAAACACAAACGAAAGATTCATAGCAGATGCTCATATTGCATGAATCCGGATCAATATTTTCCATTAGTGGGCTATATATTCCGTTTACTAACACGGACCATATCAAATGCTTATGGTCAACGTTAGGATGGCACTCGTCGTATCCAAAAGAGCACTTTGGGCTGTCCTTCTAAGAACGCTGGAATTATTTGTTTCCCAGTTAGTAGTAGTTGTTGACGGTTACATTATTATGTAGTATGTCGAGTGCTTCTCCCTCAGGTAGCTGCTGTTATATTCCCAACCGGGGTATACGCATGTCTGACCTCCTTTTTAACGGTTCACCCATACTAAAATGTTGCACAGTCATTCTACCCCACGGGGAGACTTTGTTCTCCACAGAATGTGCGTAGGAAAGAACTGGACGCTGTGCGACGTGAGTCTCGAACGAGCTAACCCTCAGTGGGTAGTCAGAGGCTTATGAACTTAATTATAGTTGTAAAGTCACTACCCGGGACGTCAAACGCGAAAGGTTCGAGTACTACCTAAAAGTTCTACTTGGATGAGGAAGGGCCAAGTAGAACATGTCGTTTTTATCGTTTAGTTACAACGAGTATGGTCTGAGTGTTCTGTAAAAAGGTGCCCTCCAATAGAGGGGACAGGGGAGTAATTAAATATGGACGCGTCAAAGGATGATTGTTATCTTTTGTGCACATTTTAACCATATTAGCTTGTTGTAGCTATGATTCTAGAATACTTAAGGAAAAAAAAGTATATCTAATCAGCGATAATTTATATTTAGAATGATATTATAAAGTATAATGATCATACCGACGTGTAAGTCTCTAAATATATATATGTATGAATTAACAAAGGCAAGGTTTTTTCTCTATTTAAAAAATGTATTAGGTATAACATTATGTGCTAAGAGATGCCTTCGCCATACAATTATGATGAATCAAATAGGAGCATATTTATGCTTTTCTTTGCATATAGTATGTTACCAAAAAAAAAGGGTTATTATTTGTTATTTCTGTCTTTTTAGTGTGTTCTATTTAATTTGTCTTGTTTTTTTTATATATTTAGTTTTGTTTTTTCTATATTGTATGGGTGTTGTTGCATGTGCTTATAGTGGTAAAGTACTATACATATGTAAAGGAGTTTTGGAGATATAAAAGTCTGTTTTCATATGTAACGATTTTTTTAATGAAAATAATTTTCTGTAAAGATTTTATCAAAATGTGTAGTCAAATGTAGCATGTATATTGATAATGCTTCTACTTTATACATGTACGTGTGTTATTATGAGGCCGTTTTATGCTGTATAGTGTTTCTTTACAAATTGCATGCGCTTGAATGGAACATATTAAGCGGTCTTCAGAAGAATCCCGTTTCTTCTAAATATGTCTTTATCATTGGATTAAATATATATGTTCATCTCTTTGTAAAGATATCTTTATGGATGTTTATGTATTATCACCATGCGTTAATTAATGTAGTTTGTTCCTAGTTCGCCAATCTTATAAAATGAATGAGCGATTTAAAACAATATACAATTAATACATGTCTACTTGAATTATTTACATATTGTATACTTTAAAAAAAATGCGGTTATGTTATTCAGGTCTAGTGGTTATGTGTTTTGCTTTGGTAGTAATCTTTTTGCTTGTTTCCATGTGTGTTCTATAATCGTATGTTCTATAATCGTAATTTATAATTCTTCAACTCATGTCGGGAAACCAAATTATATAAGGCTTTTCTATTACAAGGATAGAGAAGCGCTTATGTAATAAACAAATTATTTTTATTCATAATAATATATAAACTATGTATAAAAATATATACACATACTATGTGTTAGAAGCTAATCTGTTCATGTAAACTCTGTTATATTTATAACGTGAAAATATGTTAAACACATTTTTTTTTCCAACGTACCACGAGTATCTGATTGTATTTGGAGTCAATTGATGCTTAATCGTATATACATATATATATATATATATATATATATATATATATATGTGTATATTTATATGTATATATGGTTATGGCAAAATATCATTGTCACCTTTTTGTAGTTTTACCGGGTGCACTTACGATTTGTGTGATAATTATAATCAGCGAAGCTGAGAAGGATAATTGAACACATAATTTATAAACGTATAAATAGGATGTATAAAACGTCAAATGTTATTTGTTGGTAGACTTTTTTGTTTTTAACCTACCACAAAAAATTTATAAGTCTATTATGTATAAATTGTACCATTCATAAATTGTCTGTTTTTAATGATAATAACTTTTAGCAATGTAGTTTTTGTACTATGTGAGAGAGGGGTGTATAATGTATATTATTTATTTCCTCAGTCATTTTCTGCTTGCTTACATGGTTGTTATCATTATATATAACTTTTAACGATTGCGTGGAAAAACGTATACATAATATAGTAACCTGGTTGATCTTGCCAGTAGTCATATGCTTGTCTCAAAGATTAAGCCATGCAAGTGAAAGTATATGCATATTTTATATGTAGAAACTGCGAACGGCTCATTAAAACAGTTATAATCTACTTGACATTTTCTATATAAGGATAACTACGGAAAAGCTGTAGCTAATACTTGCTTTAGCACTCTTGATTTATTTCTTGAGTGTGTACTTGTTAAGCCTTATAAGAAAGAAGTTATTAACTTAAGGAATTATAACAAAGAAGTAACACGTAATGGATTCACTCCATTTTTTAGTGTGTATCAATCGAGTTTCTGACCTATCAGCTTTTGATGTTAGGGTATTGGCCTAACATGGCTATGACGGGTAACGGGGAATTAGAGTTCGATTCCGGAGAGGGAGCCTGAGAAATAGCTACCACATCTAAGGAAGGCAGCAGGCGCGTAAATTACCCAATTCTAAAGAAGAGAGGTAGTGACAAGAAATAACAATACAAGACCAAAACTGGTTTTGTAATTGGAATGATGGGAATTTAAATCCTTCCCAGAATACAATTGGAGGGCAAGTCTGGTGCCAGCAGCCGCGGTAATTCCAGCTCCAATAGCGTATATTAAAATTGTTGCAGTTAAAACGCTCGTAGTTGAATTTCAAAGAACCGATATTTTAATAATGCTGTTTAGCTAGGAGCCACAAAAATTGATACTTTAATCGTATCCATTTTGTGCGCATTTCTACCTTATCAAGTGTTTTTTTAATTAAAGTGTTTCTTTTTAAAATCTTCTTTAGCTAATATAAATCATATGGAAGATTTTGTTACTTTGAGTAAATTAAAGTGTTCAAAGCAGACAGAGATATAGCATAAAATGCGTTTGAATACTACAGCATGGAATAACAAAATTGAACAAGTCAAAACTATGTTTCTTTTTTTTTATTTTTGGCTTAGTTACGATTAATAGGAGTAGTTTGGGGACATTTGTATTCAGATGTCAGAGGTGAAATTCTAAGATTTTCTGGAGACAAACAACTGCGAAGGCATTTGTCTAAAATACTTCCATTAATCAAGAACGAAAGTTAAGGGAGTGAAGACGATCAGATACCGTCGTAATCTTAACCATAAACTATACCGACTAGGTTTTGGATGAAAGTAAAACAAATAAGGATAGTCTCTTCGGGGATAGTCCTTAGATTTCTTCCTTCAGTACCCTATGAGAAATCAAAGTCTTTGGGTTCTGGGGCGAGTATTCGCGCAAGCGAGAAAGTTAAAAGAATTGACGGAAGGGCACCACCAGGCGTGGAGCTTGCGGCTTAATTTGACTCAACACGGGAAAACTCACTAGTTTAAGACAAGAGTAGGATTGACAGATTAATAGCTCTTTCTTGATTTCTTGGATGGTGATGCATGGCCGTTTTTAGTTCGTGAATATGATTTGTCTGGTTAATTCCGATAACGAACGAGATCTTAACCTGCTAATTAGCGGTAAATACAACATATTTTTATGTTGAATTGGATTCGGACGAATTTTGCTTATATTTGAAGTTCATTATAATGAAGGATAGTGAAATACTTTAGTTCGCATCAGTGTTTTTTCATCGAATCGTTGATGCTTCTTGTATATCTCATCCTCTCTGTTCCCTGTGCTTCATTATCAAGCTTTTCATACCGTTTCCTTTTTTTTATGTAGAAATGTATTTGCTTTATGTAAAGCTTCTTAGAGGAACGATGTGTGTCTAACACAAGGAAGTTTAAGGCAACAACAGGTCTGTGATGTCCTTAGATGAACTAGGCTGCACGCGTGCTACAATGATATGTACAACGAGTTACTTAGAAATATGCATATGTTATTTGTGCTTAATTCAGCCTTTTATCATTATGACATACTTTTCCTCCACTGAAAAGTGTAGGTAATCTTTATTAGTACATATCGTGATGGGGATAGATTATTGCAATTATTAATCTTGAACGAGGAATGCCTAGTAAGCATGATTCATCAGATTGTGCTGACTACGTCCCTGCCCTTTGTACACACCGCCCGTCGCTCCTACCGATTGAAAGATATGATGAATTGTTTGGACAAGAAGAACGGGGATTATATGTTCGTTTTTCTGGAAAAACCGTAAATCCTATCTTTTAAAGGAAGGAGAAGTCGTAACAAGGTTTCCGTAGGTGAACCTGCGGAAGGATCATTATTTAAGTTAACCGAAAGGGAACAACTGTTATGTAAGAAAGTGAAATCTGGTTTAATTTTGTGCATTGCCAATATTTGAGGCGAATATTTGCGATGTACCTTTTTATATCAGTTTTTCATGGAACACAAAAAAAAAGGGGGAAAAAAACGTTGTGATTTGATTGTTTAGGAAAATGTCACCGTTTTTTGTGTGTTCAGCATTTACAACAATTTTAAATCAATCAATTTTAATTTTCACATAATATTGTAATCGTGTGTGTTTATATATATATGTGTGTGTGCACAAATGTGTTTAATTACCACTTTTTTTGTTTTGAGAAACATATATGTTTGGTAAGTGTTTGTGCAGTGTAAAAAATATTTATGTAATTTTTACGTAAATTTTTTTATGGTTCTGCATAAAGCGCATTCCCACATGTTTTTTTTTTAAACAAAAAATGGCTCAACCTTAACGATGGATGTCTTGGTTCCTACAGCGATGAAGGCCGCAGCAAAACGCGATATGCAATGAAAATTGCAATGACTGTGAATCATCTGAACGCTGAATGTAAATTACTCCGAAAAACTCGTAAGAGATTTTATGGAACTCCTATAGGAAGTCACAGAAATGTATTGGTTGAGTTTTATTGCAAAATAAAGTACCTTCTACGTCACGCTTACTGTAGGATTGTGTATTTTGTTAGATTTATGCACTACTATAGAGAAAGAACTCTGTGCAGTTACCATAAGCACGCTGGCGACTTGCAGAACCTTGGGGGTATTTAAAGCGGTTTTTTATTCTTGGTTTTTGTCTAATTTTTACTTTTGTAAAAATTAGTACTATTTCTGTGGATACCTCTATGCACACTGTTTATGATACAAGTCTACTTGTTATAGATCTATCGACGGGTTGTCCTGCCACGGGAGGCGTTCAAATCCAGACAGAACGTACTATTATAACTTCCTGGAGTTTTGTATATGTTATTGAGAATGCGTGTTAATAACGTGTATGAATTAGCAGTGCCTGTTAAGGGCGGCTAAGGAGTAGTGGTTATTAATCAGACGTATACGAATTTATATCCGTTAGGTTTTTTTAGCTATTATTAATTTTTTTAATACCTGTAAAAAAGGCAATAGACGAATTATTAATAGTTATAAACCTAGTAGATATAATTTGTAGTCGACGTTATAACATTGCAAAGCACTGACTAGGGAACAGCTACGATTCATACATATAGTAATTACCATGGGGATAATTACAATGGGGAAATATTTTTAGATAATGGAGATGATTAATTTTCTTTTGAAAAATGATTTTCTTGCATTATAATCGAGCTGTTGTGGAGGAGCGGAGGTTTTTGGTATGGGACTAGTGTTCGGAGTCAATAATTACCCGACAATTGGCTTTGGAGGAAAGGAATTTAGGTGATGATTATTATGGAACAACTACGAATAGACTATACAGGGAGTATTAAGAGAATACACAGGCATGATAATTTTGTTTGCCAAAGAGATTGTCACTTACATTACTTGAGTATTCTCCTCATTTAATGTATTTCTCTAGTGTGTCCTATCGTTTCGCAGCGACAGTTTGGTGTAGGGAATTTACGTTAACCTGACCAAGTGAGCATACAGGGGAAAATGTACTATATAAGAACCTAATCCTTTTTTATATATGTACTTAAAAAAGTTTGATTGTAAATATGAGTTTGTGATTTATCATGAATAAGGACTTTATAACAATTTAACTTTTTCATAAGTGTCACCTCAATGTTTTCTTAAATAGCTTATTTTGTTTACTATGTCCTGTTAATTTTTAATTGGCAGTTGTCAAACGGGGGAGTGAAGCAATTAGTAACCCTAAGTAATTCATATTAAGGAAAAAAAGTTATTACCCAATAAGAAATCATTGTGTAAAAATATATACTGTTAAAATAATGCATATTTTAAAGTAATTTAATATGGCATTTTTTTCTAATGTTTCAAATCACTATATGTTAGTTTTTTTAACTTCTTTTTAGTGGCATCGAGAACATTTTTGTTTAAGATTATGATACGGAGGGAATTAATGTTTATATATTTTTTTATATATGCAAATTCTTACGTTGTCAATTTTAGGAAGCTACATGAACTTTTTTTTTTTTTATATCAAGTTATTTGCAAAAATAAATGATATTTATTGGATGTTACAACGACGTGTACGTTTCTTAATTTTGCTGCGTATAAATGGATATTAAACGAAAAAGTTTTATATGATATTTACTACGTATGATTATTCGACGGGGAAGTTCAAAAATCATGTATGGTTCTGAATGGGTCAATCCCATACTTTATTTTTATATGGACGAGAGTTAATATTATTTTTTATATAGACATAGTTATATTATTTGTTATAGACATAGTTATTATTTTTTTGTATAGACATAGTTAATATTATTTTTTATGGACGTATAGTTAATATTATTTTTTATGGACTAGAGACGCGTGTTAAACATTATTCTTCATGGACGAGTGTAAATATTATTTTTTATGGACGAGTGTAAATATTATTTTTTATGGACGAGTGTAAATATTA